TATATATATATATATATATATATATATATATATATATATATATATATATATATATATATATATATATATATATATATATATATATATATATATATATATATATATATATATATATATATATATATATATATATATATATATATATATATATATATATATATATATATATATATATATATATATATATATATATATATATATATATATATATATATATATATATATATATATATATATATATATATATATATATATATATATATATATATATATATATATATATATATATATATATATATATATATATATATATATATATATATATATATATATATATATATATATATATATATATATATATATATATATATATATATATATATATATATATATATATATATATATATATATATATATATATATATATATATATATATAAGCAACTTAAGACAAACCCTGTTTACCCAACAAGCGCGACTGCTTCATTGCATCTCCTGCATGAGGCTATCATCACTTATGAGCGGGTGATAGTGAACAGACCACCAGCTGGTGAAACCAGCACTCAGATGTACAAATGTCACTGGGTACACCACAGATCTGGATCGGTCGGTGTATATAACCGATGAGACACTCACTCCAGAAACCTTCTTATAAGATGCCGCAAATACGAATATCGCTTGTAAGTTCAATTCTGCGTTTCTGTAAATAGCTTAAACTTCTCGAGAAAAAATATATACTAGGTGAAAATGAATTTCAGCCACTCATGTATTTCTGGTGAATTTTTAAGTATATTTGGCAAATTTATGTGTGTCGTAGGTCGAAATGTAAAAAGGGTTGGAGATTTACTCGACTTGGTCATGATTCTGCTCAGTAGAGCAACATAGATGAACAGCGGTATTAACTGACCCCGATCGGCTGATGGTGTCGACGTTATGGGTTGGGAAAAGCAGTGATCCCATTATTCATTTCAACTTTGATCGAACGAGTGATTTCAGAAACCAATCATAGTTCTTCTTTTCATCAAGGAAACTACTCACAAGGCTGCTGAAAACTCTTCAACAGCCCACGACCGGTTTCGCCCTTCCTAGGCTCATCAGGTAGGCGCAGTCCCCGAGTTTCCGTCAACTTTATGATCTACTTGAACTGCTTCCGTAATACACTATTCCCAAGAGCGAACACCTCCGCCGTTATTTCTTCAAGGCCAGTCCAAAACTATTGGACAATTTATAGGGGGAATTCGATTTTGATACGTGCTATATCTGCCTGTATCTTTGAATAGCATGCTTAGATTTTTTGTTCTTCCCGAACAGCTCTTTGGAACTGTGCAAACAGTTTGCTGAGGAGGCGTACAGTATTGCTCTTCATCCGACTGGGCTGTATATCCTTGTTGGATTTAGTGACAAGTTGCGGCTGATGAACTTGCTAATTGATGATATTCGTACCTTCCACGAATTTCCCATCCGCGGATGTCGAGAGGTACGTTGCAATAAATCTCAGTCAACTCCATTTCACCTCAAGCTCATCTTTGTTATCATTGAAATGTGTGCTGAAACCTAGATAGTTCCTTGAAAAACACACATTTTTGTACCAATTTAGTTTTCACGGGAGACTCAGCCGAATCTCTCATTTATGATATTCTACAACTGAATATGCTGCACACAGGCCGCCTCACGTTTCAGTTGGCACGAGAGATTCGGATGGCATACAGGATCGAATCGTCTTCGGTCAATACATAACTCAAGGTCAAGACGTTTGAGTGACTGACCTTGAGGTTTTCTCATAGCTCTTTTATTGATCAAAGAGGGTCAGAAGACCAGTCAGCCACCCCCATGAAATAACCCGACAATCCATTCCCTCTTTCAGCCCGTAATCACATGTCTCTGATCGTTGTAACACTTGATTTTGTACTTTCTGATTATTCAGGCATTTATATGTTGATCGGGTTGGATTTACCCATGTAGATACATGACCCCGAAGGCAAGATGCCAGAAAGGACCCGTCTGTCCAAATGGGTGTTTTCAATTTACGTGAGAGTGTATTTTAGTTACCCATAGTTGTTATTTATAACTAAAAGCTATTCTCTAACGCTCTCATACCGACTGCTCACGAAACTCCAAGCTCGGCATCCAGACGAAACACCTTTGAATGCACCTGAGTATGTCCACTGCGCTGCTACAACAGACGAGTCAATCACTGCGTGTACAACAAACCCCGAATAAACTGGTATTTTATTTAAAATTTGCGACATATGTGCTTCGACGCTCCCACAGCCAATCCACTGATTTCACTCTTCACTTGGTTAAGCGAAAACTTATTTGCCTTTACCATGGCTAGCATGTCGGCCTGATTCACGCAGCGAGAAAGATTTCGTTGGCCCATTACAAGACTGTTTCGTCTCACAACGACAAGCCAAGCGAAGGGTCTCCGTCGTGAATGAAGTTGAATCAGCCAAACCCGGAAAACACTAGAACGCTGTACCAATCTCCAAACCTACCAACTATCGTAGCCACTTTCAAAATAAATGCCTTGTTGCCTTCCGAATTGACACTACGGTTCAAAGACAATGTGTTCAAATACCAGAGTTCCTAACATATAATCAGTAACGAGACGAACGGTAATGTGAAGATATGGATTCAAAAGGTGAGGACTCTTTACCTCTAACTCAAGAATATCTTGCTAGGTCGGTGGGCCAGGGCTAGCAAGTTGAGCTAACTACCACAATGCGTCTATACTGGAAGGTTTGAGACCAGTTTTAGTTGATTTTTAGTAAATGTTTTAGGAAATATCTACCGTTGTTATGTAGTACTATTATATTTAGCACCGGCCAACTTGCCTTCCCATATAGTCCACAGATCTGGTTAGGATGTAGATCATAGGAATGTCTCAGAGCAACTCCACGAACATCCTCAGTATATGTTCTGGGAAGAGAGAAGCTACTGTTGCCTCACTTTGTCATATGCAAGAACAGGATGTAAGGATAGGATGAAGAGTACTCAAAAGGGAGCTAGTGGATCCAAATTTTGTTTTTTAATACTTGTAACTTGCCCAACACTGTTGATGCGAGACTTCAAATCATAGTATGGAAAAAAATCATACGTTCTCAAACGAAAAGAATGGAGTTTTTCAGTAGGCAGACAAGGATCCAGCGAGTCTGTTGTCTGCAACAAAATGGCTCGTTTAACCAGTCGCATGCACTTTTTGATTGATTAGTCAACCTAATGAATTAGGAGCAAAATGTTGTCCTAGTAGCTCTGTGATGGCAGATCAATGTTTCCGTTCTTTTTGCCATTCAAGGTGGACAGTTACGTTTGTCGTTCTGTTTACATAGTTCGCTCCGTGTCCACTTAGCCAGCGTGTGCTTGCCAAAAGTTCTACCCCACCCCACCCCACCCCACCCCACCCCACCCCACCCCACCCCACCCCACCCCACCCCACCCCACCCCACCCCACCCCACCCCACCCCACCCCACCCCACCCCACCCCACCCCACCCCACCCCACCCCACCCCACCCCACCCCACCCCACCCCACCCCACCCCACCCCACCCCACCCCACCCCACCCCACCCCACCCCACCCCACCCCACCCCACCCCACCCCACCCCACCCCACCCCACCCCACCCCACCCCACCCCACCCCACCCCACCCCACCCCACCCCACCCCACCCCACCCCACCCCACCCCTGTAGATCAGTCCGCCTGGTTGGCCAATCAGATTTGGTGTACGGATGTGAACATTGTTCATGCAATCAACGCGCGCGACTGCACAGGCTTGCAGACAGTCCGCCTACTCGCCCCCTAACTACATTCAATGGCGCTGATAATGACAGTGAGTTCGAATACCTCATCCCATCCGCAAACGACACCATCCATCGACAAATCGTTGCAAGTGCCTTCTTTTCCGTCTGAACTCCTGCAGCATCCGAACTGGTCAAGTACGGGTTTGTTCAGGAAGTCCACACCCGTGTATGTTCAGTCGAGCCTGTCAACGTACACACACTCGAATCCACGACTGTGTTCGTGTGCGCTGTTCTACGCGTGCTGTTCGTCCTGTCTGCTTCTCGTTTTGCCGTCCACCCCCTGCACCACCGCGTCAAGTCATACTCGAATCTCACGATGTGCGTTCATGACTAGCTATTACTACTGGCTTAGGCTCATAGCTATCGTCATAACCAACAATTCTGTTGCCCACTACACAAGGTTCATTAGTGTTAAAACAGCACTGGGATAAGCATTACACTCTCAGATCCATGACCAATATGGAACTATCTAATCCGAACGTACCGGCAACTGCTGTTGAACTAATGCGGCCAAACAGCAATAAAGTAAGTCGATTTTATCGACATATCCGAATTTGAGGATCATTCAACTGTTCGGGTAGCGATTTTTTGAATGTTTATTGCTCATTTCTGGTTTCGGGTCATATCGTAGAAATAGACTTTTTAAGAGAAGTCCCTCGTAGTTAGCCTGCGGAACATGGGAAATATGGAATGGGAATGGAATTCTCTCAATTTCCTCCACCAGACCCGATAAACGTGACATTCAGTGGACAACTACCTAAAGTGTAGCTACTAACCAGTGCATCGCTTTGGGTCCGAGGGACGAGAGAGTATAGGATATGATGCAGCTGCAAGATGAATTCAACCGACATGGGATTCCGCAGTAAAAGTTGTCTGAGAAAAATCTACATCTGTTTCGTCTGAGTTGCGAATCACAATTGCCCACAAGGATATTCGAACCCTTAATGCTTAGATCAGTACTTGAACATTTTAAAATATGGCCACGAGTAGTTGGTCGGCAATGTGGTTAACCTGCAGCCGACCAGAAAACAGCTCCATTACTCCTCCTTCACGCAGGTCACGTCAAGGTTTCCCACTGGCTCAACGACGAATTCTCAGGTCGAAGGTCTATGAGATTTTGAGGTTTTCCCCTCGCATCAGATAACTAATGACTTGTGGATAAATTTGTTCATATTACTGATTAGCTTTCTGATAGCACAGTATGCATTTACCTATGGTAAGCTGACGAGCTCGAATTTCCCAGGTACATCCTGGTGATGATTCTTAGTGAGGATAAAGTATCTACACCGTGATTCTAGGCTAATCAATATGGGCTGACATCACTTACTGGATGGAATTCCATTTAGAATTAAAAAAGGTCCCTGGCGCCCCTGTGATGGTCGGAACAGTGCAAGTTCTCTTTAACAGACGGTGAATTCAATCCCTCGTCGGCACACAGAATGAACTGATTTTTAGCTTTTCTATCAAACTGATCATATCGGATAGTATTCTCGTACAAGCCGTTGAAAGAGTTGGGATATTTTGGAGTAATCGGGAGGCTACTTTCGGACTAAGACTCGAACTTTATTCTTATGACAAGACTTAAACGTCAAATTCATCGAAATCATCGCTGAGTATAGAGTAATCGCGAGTTGTTTTGTTGCTTATGACTGAAACGTTTCTAACGACCATCTGGGTTTTCTCCTAAGGGGCTTCCCTTTCGATCGACCGCTAAAACTCGAAAGTATAGTAAAAAAGCGGCCATTGCAACAGCATGAGCGTAACTACGTTCCTTGCTTCCTTGTACTATACGAACCTCATTTTGACTGCAGTATACATCAAGGTAATATCATTACATCATAGGGTCTAATCGTATTAGGTTTGCTTTGACGAACACTATTCGGGCTTAGTTGTTGAGATTAAGGAATGCTATAAATCATCACAATTCGTAGGTCGATATCTAAGAGTAACTCTGCCTTCAAGCTGCACAAACTTAACCAGTCCCATACTTTAAGAAATACGATTTCATATCTACAGTACTACTAATAAGGTCGTTGAAAACTCTGGACCACCTATTACCGATTACGCTCTTCTTCAAGTTCATCAAATACGTTGAGTCTTCAAGCATTACGATTTCTTACTCGGACACAAATTCACAAAAAGCCCTAGTTCATAATATTCTTCAGCTATATGTGTTCTGCAAAGGTCGCTTCATTTATCAGTCGGAACAATATCCAATGTATCCAGGTGTGTCCTAATGCTACTGATATGTTCGATGTAAACTCTGGACAACTCGTTACCGGTTTCACCCTTCCAGGAGCTCATCAAGTAATCCACTACATCATGATTTACTCATAAGCTCACCTGTCTCCCTGTTTCCGAGTGACCGCATTCTGTTTGGCCTTTTGTCTCCTCTGGTTAAGTGACTAAATAATAGACTAACTTATTGAGTATTATTAACTGTGGGTTTGACCCAATGTTTACTGATCCTTCTGGCTGGCACGACAAATGAAACCAGAAGCATCCTTCTACCGCGAAATCTGTCCTACGACCAAGTTAACATTTTGGTCAGATGGGATTTCGACCCTACAGTTCGATACCTAGCCGATCCGATAACGCATCATTTAGGGAATCTGAGACTACATTTGAGTTACGGATGATCACTGTTCACGCCTAAACACAGGTGAACAAAGTAGTCGATGAGAAATGCTTTCTGAGAATAAAAACAAGGACATGGTATCGCTTAGTCATTTGTTCCTAACCCAGTCGCATTTTGGAGTGGGCGCTTGTCATGAGAAGCTGCTGATGTGGTTGCCGACTGCTGAGGTTACATTCATCAAATGCAGTTCGAGGTTCTGTTGGAGCGATCATATTTCCTTATTCTTATGTTTTATCTCAACAGACTGTGGTGCATGGATAGGATTCAGGTATATGTCAGGCTCAATCTGATATCTTGTTCAAGAGTTATGATAGCCTGACTGAGAAGTATCAGTAGTACGACGAAGTACATTCATCCTACTCAGTTTCAGCTTGCTTATTTTACTATTTGCAACAATGGCTGATGAAGCTTCACTGAACAGCGCACCTACAATAATTTGCGGAGATTGCGTTCCGCTCGATATGAAATATAATCACAGAAAGTATCTAGTTGAAAACCTTCAGTCCCTAAAAGTGTTTTTAAGGGGTTTGAAAGGTGATGGGACGGGCACTTATCAATCCGGATTATTCCGTCTTCGATTCTACTAATTCCTTCGGAGGAATAAATCCACATTCATACTGGCTAATTTTTAGAAACCTGGCTTCTTGATTGCAAGAGTTACCTTCACTGTTTAATCAGTTTTGTGAATATCCTTTGTCCATTCTTGGAACGTGAACTGCGGGCGATGTGGGTTCCAGTCCAAACATTGACGATCGAAATAGAGTTTGCGACAATCTTTCTCAGAGGAATTAACAAGTAGGCGCGACGGCAAATTCAGAGTATAGCCAACCAAAACTTGATGTTACCGAGCCTCACAAATTTCGTCTTTTCTTCTAACCACAAGGAATTTCAGAGCATTTGATGCGAGGTTCTTTGGATACATACACTCATTTTGAAGTCCAGAGGGTCTCACCTTTTAAAATCCAAGTTATACAAAATCAAATGGGAAGAGGTTGGGAATAGGCTATTTTGAAAAGGAACTTGTTTTGAAGTACATTAATTCTTTCTCCCGACTGAAAAAAACTGACTGAAGCTATTCGGATTAGGCATTGTGACCAAGGTATGTGTTGCTGTTTTCTGGAATTCAGACTGCGATCAACTCGTTTTCACAGGTAAAGCCGGAAGCTTCGTTTTCAGAACAATGTGAAAGAGATCTCAATTGAACAGTGACAAAGTCCCTACAGTACCAACTTGTTTTAGCAGTATCCAAGCACAAACTGTCCACTATATTCTAAAACTCCGTCTTTATGCATAAGTGCTGCATACACCCGGTGGCAACTTAACTTCCTGCAGCTCCAAACAGAATCGCAGATTTTCTTGAAAGTAACACAATTATTCCATTCTTCAGTGGCTGTTTCAAACGTTCGGCACGAATCACGGTAATCCATCCAAGTAAAGCAGTAGAAAATTAAGACAAATTCCATGAACTATGTAGATTGGTTCTTAGAGAATATTTCCGCGCATGCACGTATATACAGATTTGTTGAGGAGCCACCTCCATAAGGATGTTGTACACAATCCCAGAGAGGTTCCATGTATCATTGGAGTGGTAGGTTGAGTATTTATTTAGAAAGCCATCTCCTTACGTGTTTTGGTTTTACTTGTGTCCGATTTATGTTTGACCAGAATAAGATGACAGATTAGACGGGCGTGGCCATAGAACTGACCTGGTGGGCACACGCAACGTTTTGGAAGACGATCGGATCAAAGTTAGATTTCTGCGTCATTGAATTCATAATTTTCTGATAGACAGACTCTCACCTATCAAGTAGGCACATTTACATGTGGTCGGTGTAAACCTGAGGGTGAAAAGAGTGGAGAATCCCGAGACCTGATGTGCATCTCTATGACAGTGATTATGAGGTAGGCCACATTAGCACTGGTAAACAGGAATCCAGGTAACAGACTAACGAGGGTTGTGTGAATTTAGAGAGAACAATGTTCGGAGATGTTGGGACAATGTTGTTTCTTCCGTATTTGATAGAAACCATGTGGTTGATGATGCCTTCTCCTGAGTACATTACAACGAAAATTGGGAGGCGGAAGATCCCTTCCAGCAGACCTAATCGAGTCGCTGTGATCGTGTTACCTTCACGGTTAGTGGTGTGAGAGTTCGTCTGGCGACTCCCACTAACTACGTGGCCACTTAGTCTTAATGGCGATGGGCACTATTTTCAGACGTCACTAGTTTAAAGACCTGTCCCAATTGATCAGTTATGCTGGCTATATAAGTTAGGTTACTCTGTGCTGTTACGCGTGGGTTCAAATACCCTCTCCAGCGTTCACTTCTAAGAGCAACCAATAGTGTTAGGACGGATTAGCGGAAACTGAAGAAGTACATTGAGTAACTGCGAATTGCGGTTCAAAATACGCAACAGCGATTCACATAATTTCCAAATACCCTTGATTTTGTAGGTCCATATTATCTAAAGGCGTGGCGTGAGAAAAGATTGGAGTTTTCCTATTTTTATCTACGAATTCCATGCTAGAGTAGAAAAAAGGCGTGTAAACATCAGCATTCGGAGGCGTCCCATGAGGAAAGAATTGATGTACAATCATCCAACAGTGTTTTTGGTATGTGTGATGGCAAACCGAGAAGTTATCCTCTTTGCTGAAGGTCACTAGTACTGCACATCTTACGAGGGCTTCCGAGACGACTGAACCAGAACAACGCGGATGATTTGAATGGTACCATCTCGATTACGAGCAGAGTTCTCAACACATCGTTTTACTCCAAGCTTATCATAAATTAGCGTCATATCATTAGACTATCGAGAGCGCGGTTTACAAACTCCCGTTACACCGATTTATCTTGAAGCAACATTCACATGTGACCAACCATTAGCTGTGGCCGTATTGTAGTTCGCGATCAATGTTGCGGATTTCAGCGACTGCTGAGTAAAAAATGCCAGAAATTTAGGTTCCTTTAAAATCTGCTCAGGGTGAGTAGCATGCAGTCAACCCACTTAACAAAAGAACAACGGTCAACGAAATCCTCATGCGTCTCAGTAGCAGTGCCAAACTGCAATTTTACATCCATTGATGGGTGCACCTGCAAGGGAACCAAGAAGTGTTCAGGCCTGTTCTAGCGAGGCATCAAAAGACGCAAAGACAATAAAGGAGTTTCACAGATCAGTTCACTGATCACGAAGAAGATTTTACTTTTGGTAAGGACCATTTGTTATGGAGATATGGTCATATACCAGTCACAGTCCGGGAAAAATCAGAGCGAAGAACAAAAACGGCTAGCTAGCAACTTTAGACCATGCCTCCCATTCATGCTACACTCATTCTGTTAGAAGGCAGCAACCTATCTTCACACAGAGCAAAACGTCTACGACTAATTTTTCACGTGATGTATGATTTTGATGACTGGTAAGCCTCGTGACAATCTGAACAGGCCAAATCACTACACAGTAATTTGTTCACGGTACGCTAATAGGAATACTCCCAAGTTTCATTCCGTACGCTATGACATTACACATCCGAGTATACAGTACAATGCTCACAGTTAGCTCCCCGGATTAAACGTAACTGAGGGTACTTCTCGGGAGGATAACACGCATTTAGGGGTAATGAGTTTTCTCATCAAACCATCCTTAAGGCTGTATCTAACGACATAATGGTAACCGAAAATTTCGACTAAAATACTTCAACTAATAAAACCATACATTTTCTTCGGAGCATTTCCTTGGTTCTCTTCGTATTTGTGAGTAGCAGTACTAATCCACAGTACATACGCAATTCGACGCTCATGTTTTCCTTAATCAAATTGTGAGGCAGAAAATTATGCTAACATTTTATCGTAGTCTACACTTTTTCCCTGGTTGGAATATACCTGGCTATTGGAGTATGGTCAATCATGTTTCGTAATGGCTATCTTTTTGTTCGTTGTAATAGCACCCAGCCACTGTCCACGCCTGAACTGAAGTGAAACTGGATGGAATCAACAGCACTTAATTTGTTTAGAAAAACGTTTGGAAAGTTGAAAACCAGCTTCAGCTCTTTTCAAGGGTGATCAGGTAGCTCTGGCTCCTTCGTGAGTACAGTTGTACCAAGAAAACTACTTCAGCAAATTCAGTTGAAGTGTATGTAAAACGAGAGATTCAGTTAAGCACCCGTTATCCTAATTTACAAGATAGCGTTTGTCTGCTAGTGAACTGAAGTAACCTTTTTATTTATATCGATATGGATAGAAAAGAAATATTTGCACGAAACAAAACACTCGAATTTTCACTTGATCTCACACAATAAACTAAGAAATCACCTCAATTGTTAAATTGAAAAAATCGTTTTGTCTGTAGACTTTAACTACAACTGACTTGATCAAACTAATTCGGCAATCTACAGGGTGAACAGCAGTTTAAACCGGTGCGTATGGTTAGTTTCATATTTCCTCCGGGCCGGGCTAGACGAGTAAGCGACGAAATTGAGGAGGTAAAGGAACTCGTGTGGGCGGAAAATGTTGGATCATCGAATCCACTCTGGTGATCACGGCTAAATACATTCATTGTCTGACAGTCAGGGTTTATGAGTTGATTGAAGGCATATGGAGTGCGGACACTTGCTGATAAATAAGCTACTGAATCTCCATATCGATGGTTGGATCGACAGTGAAACCTCTTATTATCTTCGATTCGAAGTGACAAACTGAAATTACGCAATCAAGACCGATCTGATCAGGTCTGAACCTACCGAGGTATTGGCACATATCTCGTCCTCCATCCCAAACCTTGACAGGGTTACTGTTCATTGACAGATGTTCCGAATTCTCATGTCTCTCTGGTGTAGATGGTGGTTGACGGCATTTCCGAACCGTGACACTAGTGTCCATCGGTAATCGAACAGCTGAACACACCTGGCCAGTATTCTCAGGGCAGTCCATGAAGGTTTTCACATGAAAATTAATGAGGTTTGAAGAGTGGTGAAAGTAGGGAGCTCTCTATGATCAATGACCGCCAAAAAAACAATTAGTTCTAGGAATTTGAAACCGACTTGGATTGTTGGGAAAGCAACAGCTCATAGCTGTTATCAAAAGTAGTTGTGTAGGCAGGTGATTTCTCCAGATTTTACTTCAGTCGACAAAATAAATAATCGATGAGGAATTTACGTTGACCAGAAACTTTCACTGGCTTATTCGGTATCGGGCCAGAAAGAAGAACTGTATTTGTAGTCTTTGCCAGCTGATGGCTCGAACTGCTATCATATTGCTTCAAGCTCAGTCGACGATGTACCACGTGATCCATGTGCACCTTGATTTCAGATTGTCAAGGACAGGTAATTTGTTTGTGCAAGAACCTTTTGGTAGTCTTGACAACTTGGTTATTTAAAAGTGTCATTTACAGAGAGATTCGGGTTTCCTCCGCAAGCCACCTCAATGAATGTGCACCAGAAGACAAGCAATTACTTGGCACTTAGCCAACGCTGGTTTAACCGTCTCAGCAGAAGGGGAAGTCGCGTGCACGGCCAAACATGGCTCCTACGAGTGATAATAGAAACCTAGTAAAATTCCCGTTTGGTAAATCAGGCTTTATTCGCTCTTTTTTAAGTCAAATTAATGACCCAACAATATGTTAACTACGTCCAGCGGATATCCGGGCTTAACTCTACTGCAACCTACTGTACACCCGGGGAACGTCACTTGCGTACTGGCGATTGCAAGATTTGCCGAAGATGACTTGTCGATAATAGACAAACATTACTGGCCGCCTGACATTATCCCGGCTGTCGTACTTCCTTCGAGTAACATGGCAGCTGGGTACCGAAAGGGTGTTACAGCTGTACTAGAGTTATAAGGCGACAATTCAAACGAAGAACATTCGGATAAGTGGGGAATTTGTTGAGATAACTCCCAAAGATGCATGGTTTGCAAATTTGCCATTTAAAGAAAACTTTGTTTGGTTTGACTTTATCTAATTATCAACTCCATTTTGCTATTCCGTGTACCATTGTGTGCGCTGGTGCCGTGAAAAAGCACCTTTACACCTATTCAACACGGATTCACGCAAAGGACTGTGCCCGACTAAGTATTATCAAGAATGAATGATTAACGTCTTTTTAAACTTTGGATAGACATGCTTCACTGCACTGTCATAAGTTCTGTCGTTGTGTTCGGCTGACAAAACTTGTCCAATGTCTAGTTTCATCCGCTGTATAGGTACCTGTGAGTGGTCGCAGGAGTTACAAGGTACGTTTATGCTACGCTTAGTTCGGCGGTCCGTAGGAAACGAAGGGATCAATAGACTCTATTTTGCTTTCGTTGAAGCGGTGCCTGAAATGAGTTCCAGAGACCGGGCGAGCAATGAGAGCACCTTATTCCTGACTTACAGGCAAATGCTGGACGCAACTGAGATATATCCTCAGAACACGCGGAATGTATTCACAATTTGGGTTGCCTGATTACTTTGGCAGATGCTTCGAAACATGATTTAGTAGTTGTCCTGGTTGAGTCAATAGTCCGACCTTTTCTTAGGACTTCATAGGCCCTTATGGTCAGGGACGTTCGAACGATGGCATGAAATTCTTCTGCTTGTATTACTGAATAGACTGATCAATTACTGAGTGTATTCTTCAAGCTTTCTAAAGGAGCCGTAGTAAGACAACTGATCTAGATCCTCTCATATCAGACTTGCAAAGAGTGAAATCGGAAGGGGGGGGAAATTTCATGAACTTCAAAACGGCACTCACAATCCACTCAGGTAAACCAGCCAATGAATAGGTGATCCAGGTTCGATTGAAATACTTGATTCAATACGCTTCCCAAAACAATTTGGTCTGAGGTGGCCGTGTCGAACCGCTACTCTGGGAGTGACATCGATGTGGAATTGGCATAGCAAACGCTCAGAAATCCAGGACATCATTACTGCTTATGAGCTAGGGAATTTGGAGGCAGGTGGTAAAGTGGAGTTTTGCTGACAAAAAATGCCAAACAAGGATATTCATTGGAAACTACAGAATGATAGGTCTGCAAGGCAAATTAACTATAGCAAAGCGCAAGGAGTAAAAATTGTGAAAGATACTCCGCACACTTGTACAGATATCGGCGAATGAATCGCATTTGTGTTGCCTTATTACGGCAAATTTTCCCTAGGAGTCATCACATAAGCGAAGTCACCGAGGTGTCTACAACCTTATGTTCTGTCTAATCATCTGAGAACAGCGAAACCAGTGGTGGGCTGCCGAAGAGGCTGCACTATTCTCATGAAGAGAGTGTCACATCAAGGAAGTTTACTGCGATATCTGGAGTATTGGGTCATCTGAAGCCTAAAGTGTTAACCGTGTAGCACAGTCAGCCGAAGAATACCATAATCGAGAAATCCAGTTTAGCCACTAATTACGTAGAACTTGGCCTTCAAGTAAGAACTCGTGAAATACGCCTAGCTGATGAGCCTTCAATGGGGTATGACTGAAACGTTTGCAGCCACCCTGTTAGCAACTTGCAGCACTAGGTGTCAGAGTGAGTGGTGGAAGGGTGGGAACATCACATGATGTATGACTGGCTGCTGTGAGATATTGGCATTCCAATGCTTTGTAATAAACAGCTTCTTCTTGCAAAAGTCCGGGAAGTACTGTTATACCCCAGTTCGTTGGTCATAAACAATTCAAAATGGTAATATCAACATGAATCAGAAAATAATTCTAGGCTTCGGACTTTTCCACACGAAAAAAGACATCTCAGGCTAAGAAATATTCCAAACGTGAGATTCTAAACTCGCTCACAAACCACTACACGTTCCAGCTGAGGTGCACACCTAACGAGGTGTGGTGTTCCCCACTAAGACAGCCGGGTGGCTAAGGACAGCGCTTCCAAAAGGCGGATAACTGGTTAGATAACAAGAAAATATGTTTCTTCTGTCTCTTACTACTGGTGAATTCTCAGATGCTCATCTTAACGGATTTTTAAAGGAAGAGTATGACGTCGTACAAACATGCATAAAAGATAAGCTACCAAGTTGAGACCTAAATTCATGTAAATGAACAGAGATTCTAAGCCAAAACGGCTCATAGAACTACCTTCAAAATTTCCAACTTGGGTCAATTGAAATACGACACTGCGGATTTTTTATAGCCAGAAATTCTGGTGTACGAGATAGTTCTGGTGCTAAATAAAGGGCGCTTTTGAGGACATTCTGGCAGTCTAACAAGTGGGAAGTTGAACAAACCATCAAGGAATCTATTGGTAAGGTTTATGAAGGTTTTGACATGTCAATTTCTCTAGAAAGCTCAAAGTCACGTAAATGAGAAACTCATCCCGTTCTAGGTTATATTGGTATTTCCACAGTTCCCTAAATTCTAGCAACTTTTGTGGACAAAACTTGGTTTGGATCGAGATAAAAAACTGCGGTGTAGGACACTTTCGATTTATTCTGGTTCATCATAAACGGTGTCCCTTTTCTGTTTAACCGACCACATCTAACGCAAAGGTTTGGCATAGTTTCATTTTCACACTGTTTTACACCACACTTTTTAATTTTTAATTTTGTTTCCAAATTGATGTGCTCATTGCGTGTCTCACACTGTTTTGGTCGATCCTCGAAAACGGTTGTGCAGTTTTATTTAATTCAACTTTATTTGATATTTTCCTACAACATGCCTTCAACTCAAACCAAAACTTTAAAATTTACTTAGCATAGCTGTACTTTCAACCTCGTTTTTCTTCAAGATAGAGATAGGTACTTGACAAGAATTTGGTCCAGTGGGGCCAGCCAATACGCTTTGTTTGAAACGCCATCCTTTCATTGCTTTGAAATGTAGAAGTGTGAGATAGTTTTCAAAAAGTGCCAGATTTTATGCATTTTCATTCATCTAGTATCTCATGCTGCACCAGTTTTGTAGACACTGAGTGCTTTTTGAGTCTCATCTATTAATTTTGTCCTGAAGGGGGAGTCAGCCAACATCACTGAACAGGTGCTTGCTGGAAATAATTATCATCATCTTACGAATATCGAGGGAGGATTCCATTAGCGAGAATAGGTCACTTGTTATCGTTGAGCTGCAGGCTCTTGTCTGGTTATAGATGCTATAATTAATAGCATTTAGTTTGGGAGCCAACCACTGTATTGATTGATTGTCACAAGTGGATCCAGCAGGCTTGTCAATGCGTGTGGAGAATAAAATGCTCATGTCCTGGTTTCATTCGGCATTTTCAAGCTGTTCACTCAACTTGGCGGATATGCACTGAGCAACAAGTATGTGTTCACGAATTTGATAAAATCTGTTGAATCAGTCCCGACCTTGTCATAACGGTCGGGTCTCATTGATCCAATTATCTTGCAGAATTCAACGACTGGAACTCGGTTCCTTAATGTTCGACCATCATGGCGAATAACATTGAGTCCCTGCAATTCGGGAAAAATTGAGGTCGTACTATCCCCTGCAGTAGGACTATGAGGGCAGTTAGACGCTTCCGCCAGGCGACAAGGATGTCCAGTGACACTGCCTTCTTCCGAAGAAGGGCAGGTCAGAAAAGGTCGGCCCTTAAAACCACCCATCAATATTGTTCAACGGCTGATTGTGACTGCGGGGGCATTATCGAAATACTTTTAAAAGCCAAAGAGTCCGGTGCTGCTCAAAAGACACCTGCTGTGCGTAGCCGCATTAGGAATGAGGCAGTAAAGCCTTATTCCCTATTTCCTCTGGCACTGCCAGGCTTCTACAGCAAGGTAGGTCAGAATATTGAGATACCGTCCCCGGGAGAAGTCTCTTAGGTTAACGCTAACAACTGCTGTCTCATGGTTCAGATTTTCGAGTCATAGTCTTGGTAGAAGAGTCCTTGAACGAAACCCCATATCCTCGCGCGGCTTTGTGGATCCAACGTCCGAATCAATGATTCAAGGTGAGGTATCTCGACAAAATACCATTCTTCGACCTGGGAAACCAGGGAGTGTCATCCACTATTGCAGCTATTCCTTCACTGACTAACCTGTGTCTTTCCCACAAACGCACTGAGCCTGAAAAATCGAAAATGTCGCACTGAGCAGCTGTTTTGCTCTTCTTTTTGAAAACTACCAGTGTAATGGTGGATACTGCTGGCGAAGCATGCGAGTAGTATGTGGTTTTCTCATAGGTCCACATCGCTCTATTGAAAAGCGAATTTATTATGGAATTTGTGGAATCGCCTTGTAGCATTCGTTTACATTTGAGTGATAGCCAATGAGTATCCGGGAAGTTTAGGAAGACCTATTCATGAAGAAGACGGATACACAATTTTTATGAAGATGCATATGAGATGCATATGTCCGAGAGTCCGTAACTGTTCAGTTGGTGTTTTCTAATAAATAAAGACCTTCTTCCTTTCACTAGCGCTTTGGACCCCGCAAACCTCTGTGGTGGTCAAAACCCGCAATTACCCGGTTATCGATGATCTGATATAGAGCTGTCTGATAAGCAGTACGGTTGATACCCCTGAACAGCATGTTACAGTCCACAGTCCACTTAACTTGCTCCGATACCTGCTGGCTACTAGAGTAGTTACGTTTC